TTATTGAAATTTAACTGTTAAGACATTTTAATTTAAAAATATTACACTACTTGTGTAATAATATGATTTATATTGTAGTGAGTAGTACCTTTAATAACTATTTTTTTTCGAAATTTGTTTGAAGATCGTCTTGTACTACCTAAATATGTATTACATTATAGGTAGGTATTACTTATATTATGCAGGTATCAGTATTAAAATTACACCAAATCGTTATGCGTATTAATCAACATTTATTTTCTTGAAATTTTATTTCGATATTATACAATTTAGTAAGTGAGCATTTATAATGCACCTATTGTATATAAATTATAAAATGTAAAAATCATTCATGGAAAAGTAAAGTATATAAATGGTTAGAATTTGTACCCATGTATATGTTACAGCTAAAGTGTTGAATTCCAATATTTTATGAAATAACTAGGTAGTTCATGAATTACCTACGAATGTTAGTTAAAGTATGAAATAATACATGAAAATTGTACTTTGCTTGCGCATTTGTACCTACTCTGAAGTTAAACTCATAACTGTTGAACTGTACACATTTATTAATTTATTATAAAAAAACAATAAAACATTTAATACAACAAATCAGTACAGTATGTTGATACCTACTCCCTTTAAGTAATGCTTGTAATGTGGTGAGGGAGTCTTATTATTTTACAAGTTTAAATCAATAATTTACAATTAGGGTGAAATACTGAAATAAGTAGAAAATACTAATTGGTAATTACATAATAAATGTACAAGAAGTATGATCCTTGTAGGTTAAAGGTATTAGGTTATAATTATAACTATATAAATTTGATTGTATTACTACCTATGGAAATTATGTTACTGTCTAATAATTAATACATTTAATAATTTTACAAGTTTCATTCATTAACAATTCGGATGAAATAAAAACATGTATTATGCAACATTGCAACCCTACTGCCCACAGTCAGCACCTAGATTTTACGATACACGTAGGTGTAATAAGTAGGCAATTATATTAAAAACGATAGGTACTTGTTTGTTATCGCCCACCACCACGTGGCATAAAATTAATCAACCCAGTACCGATTGTTCGTTTGTTGTATTATGATATTTTTATATAAGTATACTGTTACAAAATGTTTAAATAAAAGTAAATAATAATGAAAATAAATTGTTTACAAAATGATGTTTAATTAAAAAAATTAATTGTGTAATAATTATTAATTGCTTTATTATTATTACTATTAGGTACACGTACAAAAATAAGACAGTTTTCAAAAGACTCATTAATGTTACACATTTTATTTGTTATATCTAACGATGTTTATAGTTTTGTTGTAAAAATTAAATCCCAGTATTAAATATTGCGGTAAATAACTCATTGAATCAATTTTTAACAATATTTTAAAATAAACTACCTAATGATGTTTGTTTGTATATATGTATGCACTTTAAATTACATGTGTGTACGGTATAGTGATTAGTGGGTTGTTTAATTGTGGGGGGAGGGGGCTTACAATTATTTCCAATTTTATTTTTATTTTTTCCAGTCTAGTAATTTTGGAAGCAGTTGATACTCAAAATTGCAAATTCTCAGCACTTTTTCAACTGATCAGCAAAAAAACAAAAATGATTGTATTCAAAAAATTAAGTTATGTACCCTATAAGTGATCAAACACCTTTGAAAAAAGCAGTGGTGGTTCTAGCGTACGAGCAGGGTGGGTAGCTGCACCAAATTTGAGTGAAAAAAAGGTTTCTATTGTTCGTAAATTGTGTAAAAACGGGGTTGAAAATAGGTAAATGTGTGCAAATGAGTTGTAGCCAATATTGATTGATCATCCTTATCCATTTTAGTTAATTCTCCGGTTAGGGTACAAATGGTGTCACCATCATTTAAATTAATAACAATAACAAAAAAAAACAAAAACAACATTAATGATGGTTATATTAATTAGAGAGGACTTCACCCCTCACGAGTTATTGTGTTATCGCCGTGCAATATACACTATTTGTGTTCAGCAGAATCAATTAAAGTTAATAACAATACAAATTATGTTGTTACAATTTTAGAGTGAATTGACCGATAATCAAAAGTAAGACCGATAATCTGTGCATTATTAATATTTTACAATATTTTATTTTTTAAACAAGTTATGGGAATTTTAGGTTTTAATATTTTACATCCGGTATGTATTGTACTATTTTTACTATGGATAGTGTCATAAACATAGATGGCTCCTTCCAAAAAAACATTCATAAGTATGTATTTTCTTTTAACATATTATTATTATCTTATTGTATCTATTCATACAAATTGTAACTATGTATTATTAAAGAAATAACAAAATATTTTTTTCAATGAATGTTTGATAATGTGATATCATACAATCACGCATGACGCATCGCGATATCTGTCCACTGCGTAGTAGCAGTTTTAAATTATGTACGGCCTAAATATTATGTAAGTGCAGTTTAAACTTTAAAAAATCAAAATAGAAATTCAAATTTTTTGTTTTGTAAGCCCTTTGTTCTGCGAATTTCAATGTGTACCTAACCGGCCATGTTAATGTAAATTATTGCAATATCCTTTTTACTCACATATAGGTATCCATTATTTTGTTGCCCCTGTTCACGCATTGCATGTGCCACGTTCACGTGATGAGTTAGCGTACGAATTCCACCGGCGTTAGAAAATAAAATATTATGATACTGCATTCAATGATAATTCATATTAATAAACATGGTGTATAGAAGGAAATGAATAAACATGATTTAAATTTGTATACAGTGTGCATCACGGAGAATCGACATGCAATACGTATCGAATGTAATAGTGTCAAATCTTCACAATACACTCTGTATAATAATAATAACATAATAATATCATACTGTACTAAATAACGCGGTGATATAATAATAATAATGATAATGGGTAAAACAATAACGCCTCGCGGTTTTGCTAATGCCCACGCAGTCACGTGTGTAAATAACACAATATTATACCGTACAAGTATATAAGTATATTATTATATATATATATATGACACAATAGTATTACGTTACGCGCATGATATTATAATAATGTACGCTTAAAAATTCATAATGCCCGTCGGTATATATTATACACAATAATAATATTATAATAATACATAATTTATACGCGATCACGAGATTGCAGTCGTGTCTGGTCTGCATGTGCAGAGGCGAATGACTCTTTTTTTTATTTTCGAAAAATGATTTTTGATTGACACAGTATTTCATTATAATTATTAAATTGTCACTCGCGGCGGCCGTTTGGTGTGCGCCTATTTATATTATACATTATATTATTATGTACTGAACACATATGAGTACGAGTATAATGTGCTTAGCCTGGAAGTTTCGTGATAAAAAGAATAACGACGACTTCTATCCTCTGCAGCAATAATAATAATAATAATAATAATAATACATTGTAATCTCACCGCCTCGGTCAATAACAAAATTATATGCGTCTATACTCTATAGTGTATATGTTTTGATGGAAACGTGGTCACAGAACTCGGATAATGTTGTACAATCTAGTACTATCATTTATCACAATCAATATTCGATATCGAAACCTATACATATTTTATGAACAGTTTATATTTTTAAAACCCGTAGTCGGATTATTCGAAACCCGTGTGATTCAGGTGTGCGGTGAACACAACAGCACTCGTGTAAAGGTCGTGTTCGGCAGTGTTTGTGTGATGAGTCCGACTGTAATGTTTTTTTTTTGTTTTGTTTTATATACTACCCATATACCAATGGAGTGGATATAACAAAGTGTAATACGGTGGTAATAACACCCACTACACAACTGCAGTAGTTCGGTCTGTATTATAATAAGCAATTAGTTTATTATATCTCGGTAATCACGTGCATATTATAAACGTGTAGTTAAGCACATAAACATGTCGGTTCTCGCAGGTAATAATGTAATCATTTTATGGTATATAAGACCCAGAGATGTTTGCGTCCGGGCGAGTTTGAATAAATTGCGGTGCGTTTGGGAAATTTAGCATAATGCGTCCGACTGAATATTATGTGATTTTAAAATAGCTTTATGTGTTTGGTAGTACCATTTTGAATATTATGTTGCCGCGATGCGTGTTTGGTATTGTGTTATCGTTAAATGGCCAGCACCCCCCCCCCCCAGCCCGTGGCCCAATGTGCTGCAGAAAATCGCTGAAAAAGTTAAGTTAAAGTAGATTTTTTACGTTTTTTTTTTTTGCAATTCATGAAACTATCGCACCAGTATTGGACACAATACAGAATTTTTTTTAATCCACGGAGATAAAACGATACGTTTGGATTTAACCGCATTCCGATGGATTATTGTCCTCGCCGTTTTTATACTTGCAACGCATATTTCCGTCATTAGTCGTTTCAAAATATATTGCGTGCTGCACTCTGCTGCGTGATCATAATCATACCAAATAGTCACATGACTATATAGTTACGTACCTATAGGTCACATGATTATCTTACATAGACTTCAGTGTACCGATATATATATATATATACCTATAGTGGGGTTTCCAAACTTCTTTTATTTGAGAGCGGTATAAAAAATTAAAAGCTCTTAGTGGGTAAAAGTTATATAAACCCACATAATTTTCAATCGTACAATTTAAATTAAATTATATTACGATATAGGTATGCAACACGTGGCACATCATAATGAGGATTTGGGATATTATACATGTTTTAGATTATTAATCGTCTTTCGGATATCCGGATAAAACTTGATTGTAGGCTGTAGTTTGGAGACCCCTACTATATAATATTATATACTGTCGTTTTCTGATTTTTTATACATTTTTTTTATTTTTTTATTTTTAATTATCATATTAAATAGAGATTACAGATACATTATAGTAGGTACCTAAACAAAATACTTTTATTGACTTCTCTATAGTCGTCACAGTAGTCACTATCATCTACTCGACACATTATTATAATAACTATAATAAGTAATAATATTAGCTTGTACGAACGTGAAATGGTTTTTTCTTATTAAACGGATTGCATGTCCACTCTTCGCTTTGGCTCATTTCACTTGAGTTGAGGTTCATTTTTCTACAATAATAGCAAAAATAATGTTATGTTTTAGTATTGCGGCAACTAACACAATTCATATACATAAGTATATGTGTAAATAATTCACATTTCGCGCCGTAATTGTAAATGTATATTGTAAACAATAATAAATACAAAAATTGCAGTTCAATTTGCATGTATGTCTGGGATTTTTTAGAAATGTATATACAAAATAATGACAGCAACTACACTAAGACCAACTCAACAATAATTTTCGGTTGGACAATAATAAAAACATAAATCTGTTGTTTGTTGACCGTCGTGTTAAAAGTCGTATTGAATATTTCATACACTCGCAACAGCAACTAATCAGTACTCAATACCATTTCTGAATAAATTATTTTTATACTTTCATGATTTTATTCTAAAGATATGAATAACTATTTTGATAGTTAGATAATATAAATTTAAATTAAATTTTTTCATATTATTATCACATGGACTGACTACTGAGGCGTGAATTCAATTATAATAAGCATTCAAATTTGTTAATCTTACAATATTTTTATACTTTATCGTTTATTTTTGTACTTGTGTTAATCTTGAGTAAGATTATTTGTCAATTTAAGTATCATTGTTGGACAATGTTTGCTTTGCTTAGTTAATACGTATATATACTTACCTATTTTATTCACCACATATTTTATTATTGTATATACACTAAAAAAATCTTTAAAAAGAAATAAAAAAAAAAAAAAAATGAAATAGGTAAGTAGGTAGGTATAAAATATATTTTTATTTTAGTAGGTTTGGTCAAAACTAATAGCCTCGGAAATTACTTAAACTAAACAATTAACATAATTAATATTTGAAAGTATAGCAATATATATAAAAATGCATAGTAAATAATAATACATAATATTAAAAGTTAAAACGATTAATTAAGTAGTGCAGGATATCTATAAATATCAAACATTGTAATGTTTGTAGTGTATCTATATAATGTCGAAAAAAATTGAACTAACACCTTTAAACGCATACTGCATGCAACTATGCGTAGACACGTTTTTAAAGACACGTTACCAATATACGTGCAAGTACACGAATTCCTTAATGTTTACGTTTCTTTATCACAGACAAATTATATTTAAATCGTATAAAATTATAAAAACCGAATAAAAAATGATAGGTAATAAATAATATATTTCACAAGAATTGTATGTTTAAAGCATGTTGATTTTAACTGGGGTTAATAACGTATACATTGTCACGGAATTGAGGCTCTAGTGTCCAAGTAAAATATAACTATTATTTGAACCGGTATATGCTTATGACATATTGCCATATTGGTACCTGTTACTGTATCTACTTTGTGTATTACTTTGTCATAATAGATATATAGTTATGCTATTGTGTCACTACTGCACGAGTAGTAAAGTTAGAGAAGTTTAAAGTTTAAAGTTTTAAATGCATTACAATTTATACTTGATTTAACACATTTAGCTATAAAATAATGGGTCTAAAACTAACACTGATATACAAATTCAAAAGGTTTTATTTAGATTGTATTATACAGTTTGGTACCTACCTATAGTTAATGTAAGCAAATGAAGGTATAACCTATATTGTAGGTAATTCATTGAACAATACGCATTATATTTAAATATGTTTTTTTTCGTATTATTATAAAATTATAATATATATTTATGACTTTAACAGTATAATACTTCTTATAGCTTGAATAAAAACATATGCATAGTTTTCTGTTATAATTTATAATAGTTGTTAATTTCAGTAAAAATTGATAGCGGTTAATAATTGAGCAATTTTTGTTGTGAGCTACAGGCTGTGTTAGCTGTGTTCCTACTTTATATTATAATATTATTCTTTGATAACGATGTGTGACCGAAGCAGTATTCACTAAAGTGCATTTTTAATAGTATATATATTATAAATGCATGCGTCATAATTGTGATTAGTGTATCGTATTTGACCCTTTACATGCTCGCGTGTCGTACAACTGATGATCGACTATTCTATACCTGTTATATGGATTATGGAATCGATAATTAAATAAACCCGAAATTGTTTTGCATTGATTTCTGTGAGTGAATATACGAGTTCCGAACCTACATACTTTTTCATATACACGACTTTGGCACTTGAGAGTTTTTTGTGAATGCAAATAGGTGGAAAACTGAAGTTTTAGGTACAATAAACATACATTCTGGTTCTACATCCGATTTTCCACTGAATTATGTAAAAGTACGATGCAATGATTTAAGGCACTGCCGCAAAGAAAATAATGTCATCGTTTCTTTGTCCATCGTAGTTTTTGCTGAAATCACGTGCCTCTGACGACGGTTATAGTTTATCTTCCAAAAGATACGAGGTGTTATCATGTTTTAGGAATTTTTTAGTTGTGTTCGTTTTAATTTGTATTGTATCTATATTTATATGTTTATCAGTTTGCACAGTAATCATCAGTCCTAATCCATAAAGCTACACACACACACACACACGCTTTCGCAGTAAAACTCTGGTCTATATTTTAATTATTAAGTTGTATTTTAATTAATAGGTTGTAATTCAGACAGTAGGGATTCGAACATTTTTTCCAAGACTTACATAATTATTTTCTATAAACAATGCAATTAAAAAAAATGTTTAGATTAATTTTATGATTTTCATAACACGAACTTATTCACATCATAGTTTTACTGTATGTGATATTGACTTATAAGTTACTAACATAAACATACTTATAGTTATTTTTTTATCTAAAAAATAATTCTTATTCTTACAAGTTTATAAAAAACTTTAAGATACAAAATTTTGGTGACAAAGAATTGACATTAGCAGAATGAAAGATGGATGAGCACTGATCAAGCTAACAGTGCCACACTGCCACTCGATAGGTTATAATTGGGCAAAGCTTTGTAAAATAATTTTTGTTATTAATTTAAGTTTGATACATTTACACTCAACACCATTGTCTGAGTATCCTAACACGATCGTTGTTCTCTTGATGCTTTTTTTCAGTAGGTATTTAAAAGTATAAACGAGAGTCTCATTTCGTATTCGGCGAGGAGGAATAACAAAAAATAAACATATATATACCTATATGGGCTATATACATATAACTCTAAATTTAAACTGTATAGTATACAGGGTGATCCACTAAGCATGTTCACCCCAATATTTTTGAAAAAATAATCTATTTAACAGAATAAGTTAGCTCTCTTATTTTGCAAAAAAAAAATAATGTCCTTAAATATTTCAAAAATAATAACTTGAATAAATTCATTATTAAAGAAAAAAAATTGGCCAGACAAGCTTAGTGTATCGCTCTGTATACGCCCCACTATAATTATTATAATTTATAATTCTCGTGCGATATGTCGTCTTATGCGGAAAACAACAGACTGTTTTAAATTTTAATAAACAATACATTATGCACATGTACGAGATATATCATAGTAAAGCAGTCGCGACGACGACGTGATGTATAGCTTTCGTATAAATATATATATATATATGAGTCATATGATATTAAATACAATATACATACAAAAATATAACATGGGTATATGGTATATTACGAATATATACCTCTACAAATATTATCAAGACACGTAAAATATAAGAAAAAAAAATTATCAATTACAGGTGTGACTGGAAGATCTGTTAACAACCAAGCTGCTGCGTAGTAAAATCGTATTTTTGCTCACTCGATTAACCAGTAAAAACAAAAAAAAAACTTTGTCAATGAGTGAGTCACAATTCTATGAATTTTAAACGACTTGATAATTGGAAATTGAATTTCAAACACTTATAAAAATATAGTGCAAATGTAGGTATGTTTAATTTTTTAAAATTTTTTTTATTATAACAGCTTAAAAAGAACTATGTATTAAATTTTCAAGCTTTTTGACCCAGTAAAAAACTTTTTATCAAAAATATGCCGAAGAACAAAATCAAAGTATTTCTACAGCCCCCTGAAAGTAATAACCGACACAAAGAAAAAGAAAAATACCTCTTTGTAAAATCAATACATTCATCGTCCAGCTCAGAATCTAAAATGATAATTTTATCATCTAAAAATGACTCAATTGTTTATTGTACGGTTAATAATTAATTTGTATACAAGTATTGTCTAACTTAATTGTTATATCTCACTATTAAAATATGAGTTTAATTACGTCGTTGTTTCAGAATTATTTTCGGTAACTGTTACTGACAGTTATCTGTTTCTATAGTAGAGAACTAAAACTAAAGACATAAAAAATGTTCTATATCCAAGATTCAAGACTTAAAATATTTCATGTAAAACGTATAATTATTTATTATTAAATACTTATTGGCAATGGAAGTTGGTACAATATTAGAATACCTATAGTGTTAGTGTATCCAATTTGGTTGAGGTGCATCGTGCGTACATCGTTGTACCTAGATAATTTCAAATTAATTGTTTTCTAGGAACTGTTTCAAGTACCTAATTATTACTATTATTATTCATTGTTTAAGCTCTAAAGTGTTATGTTATATTATATTATACTATGATTCTGCCACAAATGAAACTAAAATTTTCAATTAAATTTTCTTATAAAATATTTGATTTAAACGCTTATAACGATTCAACTATATACATAAGAGTAAAAATTACGACAGGTCATAAATAACTTTAATCATTAGTTCGTTAATAGGTCAATTAATTTAAAAAAAATTAAAAAAAAAACAATGTGGTTTTGTTTGAGCTGAATGTAAATTTATTGTATTGCGTAAGATAGATTACGGCTAACGGGTGTAAGGTAGTGTTTTACTCCTCTCAATACAAGATTAATTAAGGCATAGTTTCCGAGTAGCGATTAATCCCAAAATCCAATATTATCGAAAAATACACAACATGAAACTACAGTGTAACATAATTATTCTGAATGTATTATAATTGTTGAGCTAGATTTTTAAATAAAAGCAAGAAAAAAAAGATAATTATTAGGTATGTTAAAATAATACTATAAGTTCATGTTTATAGTAAT